GCTAATGATCGTGAGCATTTCTTCATATGTTTGTTGGCCGCTTGAATATCCTCCTTGGTGAAGTGTCTATTCATGTCTTCTGCCCATTTTTAAAAAACCAGTAAATAATTTTTAAATGGTAATATTATAAATAGAATTTTGCCAGAAAAGTATTTATAAATCTAAGGTTTTTAAATTAGGCATTTAAGGGAATATATTATTTCTACTCCCACTCAGCTTTTAGATAGGAAGAACCCATATTTATTTCATGTATTAAATGCATGGACTGTTTAGATTGTTAAGGAGCTCTGGTAGTGTAGTGGTTAAAGAATTTGACTGCCAACCAAAAAGTAGTGTTTTGAACCCATCAGCTGCTCTGCGGAAGAAAGATGAGGCAGTCTGCTTCTGTAAAGTTATACAGCCTTGGAAACCCAGTGGGGGTCACTATGAGTCGGAATCAGCTTGATGGCAGTGAGTGAGTAACTTGGATTGTTAATGTTCAGATTAGATTAAACAAGGTTAAAATCCCATTTGATTAATAGTAAGAAATTGTTAATTTTTTAAATGTGATGGTACTATTTTGATTATATTAACATAAAAGAGTCTTCCTCTTTTAGAGATAACTGAAGTACTTATAAGGAGCTCTGGAGTAGTGCCTACGGCATTTCACTGCTAACCAGAAGGTTGGCGGTTCAAATCCACCAGCCACTTCATGGAAGGAAGACTGGGCAATCTACTTCCGTAAAGATTTATTGCCTCAGAAACCCAAAGGGGGTCACTATGAGTTGGAATCGACTCAATGGCATTGAGGTTGTTTTTTTTTTTTTTAAGTACTTATGGATGAAATTATATGTTTGACATTTTCTGGAAGTATAATTTAGGACAGGAAAGAAATAGGTACAGGTAAAGAAAAAACAAATTGTCTATGGGTTGGTGATTGTTAGATATTAAGGATTTAATGTACTGTTGTAACATTTTTATATTATTTATTTATTTATTTTTAAATTAGGATTTGGGTGAAGATTTACAGAGTAAATTCACTTTTCATACAGCAGTTCACATATACTT